CATGCTCACTCTGTCTGTCTTTGCTGCAGAAAACACGATGTAACCTCGAACAATACTGCAGCAAAGACAGACAGACAGAGTGAGCATGGTATAAATAGTGATGGGATGATGAGTAAATTACTAACAGGTGATCATGATCAGAACAGAAGGACAAGGCAAAGGACTATGGGAAACGGCGTTCAAAACATGTAACAAAGAAACCGGAAGAGTGCCCTCAAATGGCCAGTCCAGGGCACCACAACCAGACACTATAACATTATCTATCTGGTGCACATGCATGTGCTAGAATTCATTGTGAAGGCTGTTAAGTTAAATGCTGCTGAGAAGAACGGTCAAGTTCTTCTCTGTAAAGGTCAAATTCTGCATTCGTTATGAATTCAGTTATGAAAATTGCATGGTCCAGAAGCGTGACAACATGTTTTTGTGATATTGAATGCTCATTGGCTCTTGCCTGCTTCGTTACAGATTGCGATGTGTGTGTTTCAGTCACTGTACATTTGAAATGGGAAATCTGCACCTTCACCGAGAGAAGCCAATTAATATTTTGATCAATTAATCACTTATATTCTGCTCTGCACCTCATACAAAACGTTTATATACCGCCAGAGAGGATCGCGACTGCAGCTCATCATCATTTGAACTATTTTTGGTACCGCTTTTGACATTTTCACAATAAATTAATTAATTTGACTACGCTTCTCTGTCTGTTATGCTTTTCTTCATAACTGCACATAGATTTAAGAAATGGTTATGGGTAGGTTTAGGGGTAGAAGTAGGATTATCGACTCAAAATATTGTTTTAATGCTACATTGTTACTAACATTTTCATTTTCCTACACATTTCTGTCCGTTACATTTTATTCTTTTAATATTCTGCATAAAATGTGTATGTTTAGGTTTGGGGGTAGGGTTAAGGGATCTAACATTTATCTACATGATGGTAAAAGGGAAATGATACAATACAATACAACCACATTGAACGTTTCAGCATCTATCCAAACGTACAAAAAAGCTAATTTTGTGTCTTTAAAAGTTACGAATTAATACCTATATAATAGCA